CTAACCAAAAGTATTAACCTTTTCAAGTATTGATCCAAGCCTGATGTTTGTTACAAAACAGAAAGCATCTTCGGATCCTTAAAAAAATTACCTGCCAAGGCAACTTAGCTACTTCCTCAGTTAGGCGCTATGTTTTTCCCTGTTACTATTTAGGGCTTGTCTGCAATGGAGCTATCCCCTAACAATTTCCAGTGAGACTGCTTTGCAAGTTGTTAGAACATCATTTCGATTTCATTTAAGAGAATGGATGGGAAGTAGCTACCCCCTCTGGAGACAACTTTACAAGGATACAGAAAAAGGTGATCAAAGTAGCAAAGGACTTGAACTCTGGCCCCAAAAGACAAGTCACAGGTGTTGTGCCCAAAACCCAAATAACTGAACAAACAATTGAACTATTTTTTTGTTGTTTGCTATTTTCTCATTCTTTTCTATGCATATTAGCAACCCCAATTGAAATAAAGTTACTAACTTAATTAATTAACTGGCGCACTGCATACCTGCCAAATTTATCTGAGTAAATGTTGAGACAATTTTCCCTTAAAAGGACCAAGATTTTTCTTTGTAAACCTGTTCATGTCCAACAAACCAAAAGGATATCCACAGCTATATTTACAAGAATTCCAAAGATTTCCTGGAAGCATGCTTTAAGATTTTTTACTTGAATGTTTTGTCCCTCAAACAAATTAGAATGAGTTCTTTTTCCTTTACAGTTTTACTAAATGTATCCATCAATGCAGAAGTGTATCAATTTTTTTTTTCAACTTGGAATAAAGCAGTGACCTGCCATGAGATAGAAGTTTTGAAGCTAAGCATCTAACACATGATTGGCAGCAGATTTAAAATCCTATTCCTAATCAATCTAATTGAGAGTTACACAGAAAAACTCTGTGAATGATTACTGCTTACTAAATCATTCATGCCCCTTGCCTTCAATGTAAAATATTCAATAAATACATTTTTTCTACGACCCTCTTCAAAAGAGGACCCCAAAAAATTTCATCTTAACCCAGATTTTACTATTTTGAAAAACGCGATTACCAACTTCAAAAATTTTAAATCCAATTAAAGCGTTGTATATCAATGCTACCCATAACCAAAACCTATGGAAACATGAACAGTGCGTTAACTTTTACAAAATTTTTTAATATATACACATTTACAGATGTGTATAATTTCTACACACCTGTATAACTTCGCGTGAATCAGCTCAGTAGGCTGGCTTGGAGGGCTGTACAAAATCGTCAGCCTCGATATCTTCAACTGGTTTCTCTTGTGCACGATGTTTTGGCGCTCGGCGGTAACGAAAGACGAAGTAAACACCCTCGCAAAAGAAGAGCAATGCAGATAGGAAACCGCAGATCCCTGAAGCTTTTAATTCATCGATGTTGTAATCTTTCCCTTTGGCGTAGACAACGCCAGAACCGATGACCAAGGCCAAAGCAGCGAAGAAACAAGCGATCATTCCAAGGAGAGGCTGCGTGAGAACAGGCGGGAGCTTCTCAAAGATATGAGTGATTCTTAGGAGGATGTGCAGCATCACAAAGATCCAGGCGGTGGTAGCAACAAAGATCAAGAACTCGTATTCAGCTCTGAAGCTACCGGGAAAACTAGAAACAATGACAAACGTCAAGAAAGTCAAGATGGCTTCGACAAGTTTTAGCCATCCTTCCTTCGTTGTCACAATCCACAGAGGATCACAACAACCGCAGCTACACTTTCGCGTGGTTACTTCTTGACCTGCCTCGCCCTGATCTGCCATGTGCAGTGTACGAATCACCAGGAGAGGGTCAAACCAAAGGTAAAGGTGTAGAAACCAGTAACAAAGCGAACGGAATGCCAAAGCTCTGTTAGTAAAATACTTGTAATGTCATGCAAGCTTTTGATTAATTAAAACAGTTCGTATGTCATATACGGAATCACAAAGCGTAACCGAAAATAGTGCTAAGAGTTGGCCTGGGGTTGAAATTGTCGTTTAACAGTTCCTGCAAAACTTAAAAATATGAAATGAAGGTCGACATTTTCTTTAAAAGGGAGAAAAATCTTCCTTGTTTTTTCTTGGCGAACAGACTACAGGGGCTTTTCTGCTAAAATAATTATTTCGCAAAATTACACTACGCGAACCTCCATGTAACCATAAGGTCCTGGAAGACCATCAAACCGTAAAATTTTGCTACTTGTGAAAACAGGAAACGGAGAGGTGTGATGAGCTATTTTCCAGATCTACAAATTTCAGCAGGGAACCATAGATTCTTTTTGGCTAGAAATTCCGTTTTGTTTCCTTTTGAGGGGGAGAAGATTTGGATAAGAACATCGTTCCTTTGGGCCGTGGTTGACTAAAGCAGCGATATTGAATGTTCCCTTTTCGTCGTTTGAGAACATATTTCTGCCTGCTGTTTCTAAATACTACTTCAGAAGGCAGTTATAATTGAATGTAATTGGTCCAGAGAACTCGCACCACTTTCTCAACTAATCAGATTCAAAACTGTTACCAAAAAGGAGATGATCTTGGTTAGTTTTGGACCAGTACTGTATTTAATCGTCGTCTATCTTATTTCCTCCATCCCCGGATCAGGAAGAGCCACTTTAAGAGAAAGCGGTGCCAAAATGCTCCTACAGCTGTTAGACCAGACCACGAAACTCGAAGATGTTGTTATTGTCAGTGGATCGCCACTACGTTAGATAGCCGAAGCTTGCAGAGGCTGTCACGACTTTCGTGACGTTTGTTGTTACGTTGAGCTTTTCCGATAGCTTCAAACCTGAATACGGATACCTGATATTCGAGGCCACCACTGCGTTCATCTTCGTTTTCCTACACATCATGTCGAAGATATTCTTGCCGTATTATCTTTGTTCCGCGTAGAAAGTACTGCCGATTAACTGATCCACCACAAATCGTATAATTTGACTGTTGCATATTAAGATGATATTGTATTTATTCGATCTGGCAAAAGGACAATAAAATCATGTGATTCTCATTCATCTTTAACGAAACAATCTTTAGTCGTTTTTTCAAGAATAGAGTACGCGAAAGGATAAAAACATGGCTGGGACGCATTGATAGAATCCGGCATCAGTGGTTTCATGGCTTCTGCTTTGTTCCTTGCGGAAGGATTTTTCCGTCGTCCTCCTCCTCTACTGCTATTGTTTTAGATCGGCACCAAGGCATATCGCTGAAGAAGTAGAAGCTGAAATGGATGATTTGATGATAACTTTGTTTGTTAAGGTCTATGATAGCTGTGTTCATCCCTGAAGAGAATAATATCTCTCTTGCTTGTTTCAGCTCTTCATACAACACGCTAATGAGAGTTCTTTGAATTCTAGACAGGGATTTCTTGCCGTAAGGAACAAAACGGAACTATCCCCTGACCCTTGAAGAATATTCGAAGAACTCAATATAGCAGCAAATGATGAAAATAGAGTTAGCTAACAGTGGCGGGTCTCGGTGAGGGGCCAGGGGGCCCAGTCTCCCCCCCCCCCTCCTTATTTTGGTTAAAAAAAAAGAAAAGAAACCGCAGAAGGAAGAGAAGCCGGCAGGGAAAGCGACAAAAAAACAGGCCCCCCCTCCCCCTTAGCTCAAGGTGAGGAAAGGGAAGATATTTTTTTCCTTTTCACGATGAATGCTAAGGCCTTCTTTTCAAAGTTTGCCAGGGAGGTTTTGAACTCCTGAAAGTGTGCATAAGTGACGATCTTGTCATATTTTCATCCCGATGGTTGGTGGGATCTGGGGAGCCAACAACACCGCAAATCTTTGCGTGGAACCGTCATTTTTTGTTTTTTGTTTTTTATTTTTTTGTTTTTGAGGAGCACGGGCTCCTCTCTGAACAGCGGATGTTTATCGAGAAGCTGACGTAGCCCACCCCATATAACAAACTCTCTACTACCCACCGGAAAGCGTACTCCGACATCCGTCAGAAGGAGGTCATCTCGGGTAGATTTCCGATTACGAAATCCGAGCTCGCCCGATGTTGTCTTCGTGATGAAGGCCCTATTTAGCATATTAGACCCGCAAAACAGAGTAGAAACGAACACGTGCTTCGTTTTCGCTCATGACTTCGTATTAGCCGTAAGATATTTGCTTTTTTTTTTTCGTTGCTTACCTTTATTACAGACTCCACAAAATTTCTGCGATGCCTCCTTTTCACGGATGGCCGATTACAACTACAACATAGTGACACCTCCACGAAATCTGTCAAAACTGAAAAAAAAACTGATTCGCAGAACTTCCCGTTAATTGTTTATTAAGATAATCGTCGAAGTGAAATATATCTATGTAGTAATTTTTATCTATGTAGAAGTCAGCTAAAAGAATTTTTAATATGTATTCATGAGAAACTGTTTCTTGTAGATCTTTCCCTAAGTACGCTCTTGCGTTAAGAATTGAAAATCCTCATCTAAATATTGTAAAAAATATTATCGTAGAATGTTTTCAATGATTTTCAATGCACAACGCAGATAGAGAAAATGTAATAGGTAAGACAAGTCACGGATTATCCTTGTCGACAAAAGTAATATCGCTTGCTACATTATATTCAAACTTAATCTCCGTCCAATCGAGGTAATGTACAATTTTTTAATCAATTACCATATTAGAAATAACAATATATCGCTTAAACTCTGAACGTAACTGCTAAATTTATTTCATCAGAAATCCAGAAGATTTCCGGTGTTTTAAAATCCTCCTTTTGACAGATTTCGTGAAGATGTCATTACGTTGTAGTTGTGATCGACCATCCGTGAAAAGGAGGCGTCAAATGTATTTTGTGGAATCTGTCATATAGGTTAGCAACGGAAAAAAATGCAAATATCTTAACGCTAATACAAAGTCATGAGCGAAAACGAAGTAAGTGTTCCTTTCTACTCTATTTTGCGGCTCTAAAATGCGAAATAGGGCCTTCGTGACAACAAAGCTCGGATTTCGTCATCAGAAATCTACCCGAGATGACCTCTGGTGTTTTAACATCCTCCTTTTGACAGATTTCGTGGAGGTGTCACTATGTTGCAGTTGTAGTCGGCCATCCGTGAAAAGGAGGCATCGCAAAAATTTTTGGGAGTCTGTAATATAGGTAAGCAACGGAAAAAAATGCAAATATCTTAACGCTAATACGAAGTCATGAGCGAAAACGAAGCACGTGTTCGTTTCTACTCTGTTTTGCGGGTCTAATATGCTAAATAGGGCCTTCATCACGAAGACAACATCGGGCGAGCTCGGATTTCGTAATCGGAAATCTACCCGAGATGACCTCCTTCTGACGGATGTCGGAGTACGCTTTCCCTACCCACCCTACCATCCTCAATATATATAGACAACAACTATGGCGGACGGGGAAGAGTTAAGGAATTCACAAGGATGTTGCAATTGTGAGTGGATAGTGATCACGGTGGAAGGATGGGTGAAACTCATCGAGACGGTAGCGACTTTCTTAGCGGCTGTTCTCACGCGTAGCTTTGCGTACTATAGCGCCAAGATGGAATACAAATATCAAGTCGGCGTAGCCACGTGCGCGTGCATCTTGGTGTTCCTGCACATCATTATCAGAAGCTTACGATGCTTCGAGAAGGTGCTACCACTGCTTGGAATGATCGGATGTTTTCTTCTCTCGGTAACCTTATTCGTTGGCTCTGGAATTGTGTACCATGATGGCAACATATATAAGGGAGGGGATGTAATGATTGCATCAGGCATTTGTGGCTTCATAGCTGCTAGTTTGTTCTTCTGTGAGGCGATTTATTATCTCTTTGCCCTCGTTTGTCGCCGATCACCTCCACGCCACGATGATGGGGTGACTCTAACTACAGAAAAACATGGTCCGGCAGAAGATCCTGCAAGTGCAGTGGTTTAGCGAGAACTGAGATAAACAGAAAGAACTTGATGCATACAGAAAGATGTTTAAGCTTCGAATTAGAAAAGAAGGTGATTACTACGAGATATTATCTCATAGTAGAATGTTGTCTATTATTTTGATTTACCTATTTGAGAAACAAAAAAAGTATTTAGGACGTCTGAAACAGAGAAATTTATCGTAGGTTTGATAAAATCAAGCTTCCCTCGCTGTCATTCAACCAAAGTTTACGTTAGGTCGCCTGACACTCGCCAAGTATTTCCGGCGAGTTACATGCGTTCTTATGTTGTTGTTCTATTTCTGTTTGAGATTAAATTATTAAAATAAAGCAGTTAACAGACCCTAGTTTCACTGTTGGAATGGTTTCTGCTGCTTTAGCCTGATTTTCACTAAAGACGCAAGCGACAAAACTCTTATTTCACTGTGTAAACAGTCTCAACGCAAGCACGAACGGAAGCACGCACCCAGTCAAAAAGATTCAAATTTCTCCTTTTTCTTGTGCTAGTGCTTGTGCTTGTCGACTTCCGTTTTCACTTGGCATATTCACCTAAAGCTTGCCGGTGTTTGTACCGGCTTACACTTGTGCTTGCGTCGCTAGTGGAAAACCAGGCGTAATCGATACAAGAGGAAAAATTTACAACAGTTGCCTCTCCATCTCCACTTGACAGCTTGAACCTTCCACGCATATTTGCGCTTGCAGGCATGCAGAGAAGACAATTGTTCGAATCAAGTTTCCTGTTACATTAGACATATCTCCTGTTTACCTATGCGTCACTTACGAACGTAAAATTTGGTGATTTACAACGTTGTGTTGGATGGAGCGGCTACGAAATGTACCAAGTTGTGAGGAGGCATTGGGATTTTCGGTTTTGTGGTTTTGGTTATTTTTTTAGATCGGTTTTTCGGTTTTGGTGTTCATTGCGGTTTGCAGATATTCCGTTTTCCGTCATTTGGTTTTCGGTTTTCGCCAAAAATACCAATGGGTTTCCGGATTTGATATTCGATGCGGTTTTCGGTTTTTCCTATTTGACCGATTTGGGTTCCTGTTTCTCTTCGATTTGAGTGGCAATTACGCGCCACCGCTGCCGCTTAACGCAAATGTTATCGAGAGGAATGCGTGACGAACCAATTGAAATATCGCAGGGAACCCCAGGTAGCCTACGTGTAGCCGTACCCTCCCCCTCCCCCAAGGTGGGGGGAAAGGGACCAGCTTCTCTCGCCTGGCGATCCTTTTGCGCCAGCCGCATGCTGAGCGCAAACGCTTCGACTAGTAATTTTCCTGGGAAATTTGTTCATCGCGGAACATGCCAGAGTTTCTTCATCAACGCTACCTCGAAGTTGGTGACCAAGTTACAGGCCACACGTGACTGATTCAACATTCCAATAGAATTTCCAAACTTTCAGGTCTTAATTCGCAAATTAGATTAGATGTTATGAGATGTTAGATTAGGGATTTTCGATGAAACTTTCCGGAGCTATAGCTTTTTGCGACTGCAAAATTGCAAACCTATAGAGGAATTTTGTGTAAATTTCCTTAATTTAACTAGGCTCCATTACCAGCTGCTGAGTCCGCAGAGACCACGATCGAGGTCCTCGAGAGTGCAGCTGTTAATTGAAGCAGATACTAGAAGATACGAATGCCAAGTCCATGGCATTCATAAATTCTGTAATGAAATTAGCATAGTTTACTCTGTATGCTCCACTTGTCACCACTGTATTTTTTTTGGTTTTTCGGGTTTGGATGATTTTTTTCTGCGGTTTTGCAGTTTCTAATAAGCCCCAATGCCCCCCTCAGTTGTGAAAGGTACGTGCAGAGCCATAATTCTTCTCTTGAAATCTTTTTTCCTTCAGCGCTCTATTTGCAACCGCAGTTGCAGTCCGCTTGATATTCCTATAACTCAGCCCGAGGGCCTCTTCATAAGAGCCTGGGTTTATTTAATTGTAGCTCAAGGTTGATCACCGTAACGTATCTTAATATCTTTACAATTCACACGAACCAGGCGGTTTGCCCTTCGAGATTGACTCGAGAATTTTAATTCCAAGAGGAACGGTGTAGGAAACGTTTCGAGAGGGATAATCGCTCGCGTTCGTTCTATCTATCTTATTCATCTATACTAAACAGATGAACTGAAAAGCAAGAAATTTTGCCTTGAGGGTCTCAATGGGGTTAACCTATAGCCGTAAAACAGTCAAAAATTAAGGCTTTTAGGCGTAAAAATTGACCGGCAAATTTTGACAATTAGTCGTTACAAACGGTAACCGTAAAAATGTGTTATTTTTGTATCACAAAGAAAGGAAGTTAACTGTTGAAGCCGGATCAATTTTTCTTTACCGTGACGAAAGCTTACCATCCTGGAAAAGGATCACGCCATCCAGAACGAAGAATGCACATTTGTCAGGGACGATAAACTGGCCTATAAAGGAGATTTCATTTATCCTAATTGGTAAGTTTTATCGAGTGAGGATCTTTTAATTCAGTATCTAGCTGTACGTGGTTTGTTTTGTTCTGCGGAGCAGCCACTGAAACTAATCGGGCCTCTGTGAAAATACGGTTTTTGAAGAACTATCTGTGAATTGACGGTTATCAAAAACTGACAAAAATTCAACGCTTGAGAGACTAAATACAGACAACAAGACTCTCTTCTTTCCTTGCGAAGAAAAGCTGTTAGTCCCGTTGACAAATAGGGAAGAAAAATTATATCCAGAAGATTCTTTTAGTACGGCTAGAAACAAAATCCGGACTTTTTTCAGGATTTTCAAAGTCAAACAGAATTTTCAGAAAATTCGATGATTTTGGAACATTTAGGGATTCTTAGACGATAATGTCTAGAAAAATACAGCCGATAGCATAAAAACAAATTTACGTGGTTTGTAGAACTTACTCTACTAGCTGTTTATTGTCGTTATCATTTGGTCACCACAGGAATCTCGCATTTCATGCAAATTATGTTATTATTTTAAAATAAATTTCGAGACAGATCAGGACCTTTACAAAAAAATTTCGAGGTTTTTGAGATAAAAATGAGATTTGTAGACATTTTCAGGAGAATTTCCCAATAGATTGTCGGGCCATTTTTCGCAATTTCTATATCTAGGCCTACTTCTACGGCAGCATTGGTTTCATGGCTTCTGCTTTGTTCCTCGCGGTTGGATCTTTCGTCGTCGTCCTCCTCTACTGCAATTGTTTCAGATCGGCACCAAGGCATATCGTTGAAGAAGTAGAAGCTACAATGGATGATTTGATGTCGTTTTTGTTACAGTCTATCATAGCTGTGTTCATTATTGAAGAAAAGAATATTTCTCTTGCTTCTTTCAACTCTTCATGCAACACGCCAATGAGAGTTCGTTGAATGCTAGACAGGGATTTCTTTCCGTAGGGAACAAGACGAAACAATCCGCTGACCCTTGTCGAAGAGCTCAATATAGCCTCGAACAATGAAAAAATAAGTTAGGTAACAGTGGCGGGTCAAGGGGAGGGGCCCAGAGGGCCCGCTCCCGCCCTCCCCCCTCCCCTTATTTTAAGTAGAAAAATTTAATAATAATCGTAGAAGGAAGAAAAGCCGGCAAGGCAAGCGATAAAAAACCGGACCCCCCTCAGCTCAAAGTCTGGATCCGCAACTGGCTAATTGTGGAAGCTCGTTCTTAATTAGTCTAGGGCAAGAGCCCACTAATGGGATCCTGGTCTAGGGCCATCTCTTTCAGAACGCTTTCTGGAGTGCCTGCATAACACAATCCCTCTTCCAGTCGTTATGTATCTTTTCTAGGCCAGATTGGAAGCGTGCGTGAGGAAAGGGAAAATATTTTTTTTATTTTTATGATGAATCCTTTAGCCTTCTTTTCAAAGTTTGGTGGTTTTGAACTCCTGAAGGTGTGTTTAAGAATATAAGTGACGATAAATAAATTAAATTGATTTTATCCCTAAATTAACTCATCATATTCGTCAGTGGTTCATCTTCAGTGAGACCTTTCGTCTACCATTGGTCGAACTGAAATCGAACTAGTATTTGGGAGGTCAGTTTTACTGTGGGAACAACCTACGGACATCCAGACAATCCCTTGAAACTTTGAAGCAAACCAACATCTCAACTCACCACCCTCCCCTCTCCCCTTCCCCATTAAATATGAGGAGAGGGGGGAGGAAACGCAACCGATATGCGAAATGGCGTGCATAGAGCCAACTGTCCTGAAGGAATTTACAACGACAAAAGTCGAATTGAATCACTGAATAGAATACTCGCAATTAAATGAGCTTCGTGTTCGACAAAACTCGTGCTTTCTTCTTTCGCCCAAGCGGTGGAAGAGTTCCTTCATTTCAGTTACACGGTAGGATCTGGGCGCTCGATTAGTATCGATCAGTTTGAAAAACTATAGTCAGTGAGTAATCTTGTCATATTTTTATCCCGATGGCTAGTAGGATCGGGGGAGTCAACGACACAGCAAATCTTCGCGTCTAACCGTCATTTTGTTTGAGGAGCAAGGGCTCCTTTCTGAACAACGGATGTTTATCGAAAAGCCGACGTAACCCATTCTCATCTACCCACTCTACCATTCTCAGTATGTATAGACAAAAGTTATGGCGAGCAGGAATGCTTCTCCATTCCGTCCGAACACACAGTGGGATCTGGGAAGTATAAAACACAGCGAATCTTCGTGTGGAATCGTCACTTTGTATAAGGAGCACGGGCTCCATTCCGAACAGCGGATGTTTATCGAGAAGCCGACGTAGCCCACCTCATATAGTAACTCTACCATTCTCAGTATATATAGACAACAGCTATGGCTGACAGGGAGGAGTCACTGAATTCACGAAGGTGTTGCAATTTTGCGTGGATAGTGACCACGATAGAAGGAGGCGTGAAACTCATTGAGACGGTAACGACTTTCTTAGCGGCTGTTCTTACGCTTAGCTATGAGTTCTATCGCTACAAGGCAGAATTCAAATATCAAGTCGGCGTAGCCACCTGCGCGCTCGTCTTCGTGGTTCTGCACATCATTTTCAGAAGCTTACGATGCTTCGAGAAGGTGCCACCGCTGCTTGGAATGGTTGGATGTTTTCTCCTCTCGGTTGCCTTAGTTGTTGGCTCTGGAATTGTATACCATGATGGCAACATCTATGTGAAAGGGGATGTAATGATTGGATCAGGCATTTGTGGCTTCATAGCTGCTAGTTTGTTCTTCTGTGAAGCGATTTATTATCTCTTTGCCCTCGTTTGTCGCCGATCACCTCCACGTCATGATGATGGAGAGACTCTAATTACATGATAACATGGTCCAGCGGAAGATACTGTAGGTTTTATCGAGTGAGGATCTTTTTATTCAGTATCTAGCTGTACGTGGT